AATGTATTGATTAATAGATTACTGATTTGTTTGTTGTTAAGTATCAGTGACCTCCTCCGTCACCTTTGATGTCTGCCAGGTGCAGTCCGGAGGCAGCACCCTCGATCTCGGTCAGCAGCTCGCTGAGCGCCTCATCTTCGCACTCGTTGTAGACGTGGACAGTGGCGAGTGCCAAACCCCACGAGTCCGCAAACACCACGGTCTTCCTCTTCTTCCTCCTTAACAGCCCCGGGCTGCCGCTGCTGCTCTCTGCGCCCGCTGATGGTGCCGTCGCCATCGCGGAGGTAAGGCAGGGTCGCAGCGGTCGGCAATGCGGCAGCAGAGCGACTGAGGATGAGGAGCGCTTGTCGCAGTTCCCGAGGAAGGAGCGCAGAGGAGGTGAGCTGGCCAGGCAGATCCTTACGGCCACGTCGATGGGCATGATGGGAGATGGGCCCCCGGGGCGAGGGTTCAGGACATGGAGGACCCTGAGGAAGACAGAGGGGGCCAGTATTCAGAGTGCAGAAGAAGAAATCTCCATTAATTTGAATAAAGTCACTGAAGATAACGACTCTCTGCAACACCAAACACCTGAACTACCTCTGGCCTCTCAGACGAAGTTCAGAGCGCTCGAGATGACGGCCCGTGATCAATCGTGATGAAAAAGTGACCAATCAAATAATTCTTTCCTCGTTAATGAATTAAATGGTCAACATTCTGTGATCTTAATGCATTAAAACTGCCTAAAAAGCAGGTACGTCAGGTGTGCTCATACAGGACCAGCACTCATTTCGGAGTCCTGGACTGACCTTTAGACCCGACTGTGGGTTTTCAGAGATTCTCTTTCCTGCCTGTCGTTTCTTTTGTTCAAAAACTTGGCTGTGTGAAGACGGCGAAGAGCGCAGGAGGCCCAGGTGTCTTTAGAGGTGATTTTACACAGAAAACACACAAACTGGACGATATCATAGAACTGCAGGTCCAAGTTCAAATTAAAGAGCTGGTAAAAGTCGAGCCTTAATACAGCGTCTAAAAATCAGTCACATGCAAACGTTTTTTCATGCAGGAAGTGAGAAAAACTCCAGCGTGTGTCTGTGGGCCAGGTTTCAATACAGCAGTGTGATTGGCTGGTTCTGCTGATCAATGTTTGAAACCAATAACCACCAAGTGATTGATTATTGGGCATCTTTACTTAGTTACCTTTAGCTAACAGGTATGTCGGACACACAAACATGAGACTAACACGAGTCAGGTACGTTTGCATGTTTCTGATATCACATGAAGCGGTGCTGACAGAGTAATCTGATTACTGAGTGCATGGTCAACAGTCAAAGCCAGATTATTGATGACTTGATTTGTAATCTGCAGCTCTGCGATGAATATTTCAACACTTCTCCGATTTTAAAGCTGACTGACCCGGCGGTTCTTCTGATCGATGTTTGAAACCAATAACCGACAGAACCATCGCTTATCGATCAGTGCCAGGCTGACCTGCAGCTCGAGTTCACAGACTGATGATGAAGAGGAGGATGAAGGCTGTGGCGCAGTTTAATATTTGAGCAGCTCACCTGGTGCAGTTCATGGAAACCTGTCGCCCGGTTCGGCCCGTCCCGGACAGCCGCGGGGCTTCCCTCCGTGTCCACGGTTCTTTTTGTTTGTTTGTTTGTTTTTTTTACTTTTTTTTCTTCGTTTATTTTTCCGCCATTTTAAAGTCCGACCACTGCCTGTCCGCGCGCACCGACACGCCCCCTGACAATCCGAGAACGGGGAGAGAGAGAAGCCAATCAGCGCTCGGCACCGTCAGCTGGTCACACTGACAGCCAATCAGAGAAACGCCAAATAGAGCGAGCGAGAGAGTGAAGGAGAGAGCGCGTTTATCGGGACGTGGAAGGTGGGCGGGGCCTGATGCACGCTGAGCTTTGACTGACAGGTGAGTTAAGAGGAAGAAATGCAGGTGTTAGTGAGTGAGAGACGCCACTGATCACTGCCAATCACGCTTCTGTACGTCATCCACCCGCCCCTCTTAAACTGACACATGTACCTGAAACAGAGTTTGCTGTTTTTAAAGTTACCACATAAACAAAGTTATGATTTCGATCTGTCTCATGTGTCTCTGATCCCGTCAATGTCATCAAGGTGGACTGATGAGGACAGAGTCTTCTGTGGTGAAGCTGCACCTGCTGAAAGATGGACGAGACGACCGTCCTACAAACGTCCCCACAGGCTGGTCGAAGCTGCTTTCCTTTTTACTTACAGATTTCAGCTGCAGAGACCTCAGGAAATCGCTGAGTCTTGTCAGACAGACTGAGGGCTGACAGTTCCCACAGTGAACAGGTAAACTCACAGGTAAACTCAGAGGAAGCTTCATCCTTAGCTGCCTCATACATGATCAACAGACTGACAGACAGTTTGCCTCCTCTGCAGACCGTGAAACTGAGGTGAGGACAGGATTAGACTTTTAGACTGTCCTGCAGCAGCAGCTTTGCATGATTCAAAGATCAGAATAATCCTTCTTTGTCTGTTACTAGTTGCAGCTCCTTGACTCCCCCCATTCTCGTAAAACAAGCTGTTTTAGTGCCTTCCCTTTAAGGGGGGTTTGTTCTGATTGACTGACTTCAGGAAGTCTGCAGAGGGGCAGCCTGTAGTGCTTTAGAAAGACGCTGATGTTTAGTGAGGAGTCAGAGGTACGTGTGATGTCACATGATGTAGATTTAATCTGTGACACATTCAACTTTATTTATAAAACACCCTTTAACAGAAACATACCTCCAGCAGAACCAGGCTCAGGGAGGGGCGGCCATCTGCCGCAACTGACTGGGGTTAGGGAAGACACGACAAAGTCACGCTGCTGAGAGCCAGAGATTAATAAGAACTAATGAGCGCTGTAAAGCACTATACAAATACAGGCCATTTCAGTGCAGGGAGGTCTATTAACACATAGTGAGTGAAGAAGAAACACCCAGTGCATCATGGGTATCCCCGGCAGCCTACACCTATTGCAGCATAACTTAGGGAGGATTCAGGGTCACCTGGTCCAGCCCTAACTATATGCTTTAGCAAAAAGGAAAGTTTGAAGCCTAATCTTGAAAGTAGAGATAGTGTCTGTCTCCAGAATCCAAACTGGAAGCTGGTTCCACAGAAGAGGGGCCTGAAAACTGAAGGCTCTGCCTCCCATTCTACTTTTAAATACTCTAGGAATAACAAGTAGGCCTGCAGAGCAAGAGCGAAGTGCAACACAAAGTGAATGGTGCACTGAGGTCTAGTGGCAGCAGTGATGATATTGACCACAGCAGACAGAAGCTTCATTAATAAGGTGTTTAATAGCTGTTTGGGGTAATAAGACATACAGACTGTGTTCTGTTCCAACAGGAACTGTGCTTCATCACTTTGCTTACTTCATCTGCAGACAAACGTCGTCTTCATTGTAAAAAACACAAGTGCTTATTGAAGATGTGCAAAACAGAGTAACAACAACAATAATAACAATAATAATACTGTCAGCAAAAACAAGGAGAAAAGAGCTTCAAACTTCACAAACTCACAGTGAGAAACTTTGTACCATCAAAACAGAAATTATGGCTTCAACAGTGCAAACAACACCAGATCCTCCGAAGTCCAGCCCTGATACCCAGATATCCGGTGCTCGCTGCTGTGAAGGGAGGTTCCTGTACCTCCTCCACGCCTCAGAGAACCCATTCTTCACACTGAAGCTGCAGTCAGGCCCAAAGTTTGTTGACGGTTTGTGGCTCTGAACGGCATGCCTGAACTCGGAGCTCCACAACCTCAGAGAGCAGTTGTTATTAATAACCCCAGTATGCGTGCTGTCTAACCTGACCTGGCGCTCTGCTGCCGCCCCCCTGTGAAGCCTCGTGCGGACTCTGATGAGAGCTGCTCGTTTGGTGATGTCACTGATTACTGGACTTTGTGAGCTAATGTTAGCTCACAGGCTCTGAGGCACATACTTTGGTTTCAACGTTAGACTCACCCTGAGACCGTCACCGTGCACGCTTTGAGTCCTTTCTTTGAACCAAACGGGAATAAATTCCCGTTTGGTTCAAATAAGGAATAAATTCCCGTTTGGTTCAAATAAGGAATAAATTCCCGTTTGGTTCAAATAAGGAATAAATTTCTGTTTGGTTCTCGGCACAGCGCCTCCTTCAAGACGTCCTGAGCAGCTGATTTAATCAGTTTAAAGAGCGACGTAGCCTCACCTTCAGACTTCACCAAAGAAACGCTTTGAATGAAACTTGATTTGAGAACCTTCATCACCATGATCACCTTTTTCAGATTATAGTTTCCCCTTATTTAAAGATTATTTTCTGTCATTTGAGGAATGAGAACGTTGGTACTTTGAGCCCTGATGATGGGATAATGGAGGGTTGAGTTTAGATGATTTAAAGGTCAGGCATTTAATTGTTTCCTTTTTTAACTTTATAGTTAATCAATATAAACACTCTCACAATGAAAAAGACTTTAAAGTCATGGCAATGAGAACATTTCCCATTTTTTCAGATAACTATTTGTTTCATTTATTTTAACTAGAATATTCTTCTTTAAGGCCCAAAACAGAGAAATACAAAACTCATATTTTACCAGCACCGAGATTAGTTCAGGTTTTTCTCTTCATGCTAATTATTTATTTTTTATTATTACAAGAAATGTTTTCTTTTATTTTTAAAGTTTGCTTTTGAAATGTGTTGCAGAGTAAAATGACTCTTCTCTCTTTTTTAAAAGTCCGAAAATAAACACGTCAGGTGTTTTTTTTCATTACGTTAAATAATTCAACGTTAATTATAATTCACTGAAAAAGTTATAAAAAGTTTCTTTGATGAACTCTGAACTTTGAGCGATCATTAATGTTCATCCCTGTTGCTATGAAAAGTTATTCTGTTCTCATTGCTGAAAACAGCTATGGAGTAAAAGGTCAGAGGTCAAGCTAACAGCTGATCTGCTTTCCCACACAAACTTCATTGTAGTTTCATTTAAGCACAAACTCAAACCATCAGAGACAAACACTTTAAAACTCAGCTGATCTGAAATTTAATGAGGTCAGATCTTCCTCCTCCTCCTGCTCCTCCTCCTCCTCCTGCTCCTCCTCCTGCTCCTCCTCCTCCTCCTGCTCCTCCTCCTGCTCCTCCTCCTTCTCTACAGACAGATCTGTTTGGCGAGCTCGCGGTCCAGGTCGTGAATCAGCGTGTCAAAGTCCTTCAGGCTGAGCCGACAGTTAAACGGAGCGTCAAAGTCCAGGAAGTCATCCATGTACAGAGCTCCGCCCCCTCCTGTTGGCCATGCCCTCTTCTTCTCCTCCTCGTCTTCATCATCACTCCCTGAAAAACCAAGAGGAAGAAGCAGAGTCAGAGAGGAGAAAGGGCTGTCAGTCAGACACCTGTCAGTTCTACAGTCACCCTCTCAGGCCGTAATGTGACCCAGCAGGAATCAAACAGGTGTTTCAGTGACACCTGTGCAGGTTAACCATGTGTATAGGTAGACGATCAGCTGATTTTTACCTGCATCGCTCTCGCTTCCTGCCACCTCATCGTAATCGGCATCCTGCCCGGTCAGAAACTCTTGTCCGCAAACGCTCCAGTCTCCTGCGTACCTGTTGATTGGCGGTGGACTCTCCAGCCGGGCCACACCGCCACGCCCTCGCCGTGACACCACCACCTCCTCTTCAGGGCTCTGTGGTAGAGCCAGGCGCAACGCAGGATGCCGCTGCTGCTGCACCAAGGGATTCTGGTGAGGGGTGGTGGAGGGAGGAGGCGAGGCATTGGCGTCGGCTGGTGCTCGATGAGTCGGCACTGAGGACAAAGAACAATTGGGACGATCTCGATGGGTTCCATGGCAAGGTAAGGAATGTGGGCAGGTCTGTAGGGCTTACCTGGCCACAGCTGCAGCAGGTAGTGCAGCGCTTCGATGTGCCGTTTGAAGTCCACGGCGCTCGCCATCTCCTCGCCATGATAGAAGCCCTTCGTTGATCCTCTTCCTGACTTCCCTCCTCCCCCCCTCCACGCATCTTGGGTTGGCGTGAGGAGCACAGGCCCGAAGCACACGGCGAGGTTCTGATGAGTCATCCTGTTGGCGGCGCTCAAAGATGCTACGAGGCTGAGGTGGTCGAGCAGGAGCAACAGAGTGGCCTGAAAGCGAGAGATGGCGAGGACAGTTAGTAGACAACTCAGCGGTTGACCTGCTGAAATCTGACCTGATGTCAGATTTCAGATTAACTCGTCTCAATTTTCCCGAATGTAAAATATTCAGCCTGTTTATTTTACTTCAAAGGTTCCAGGTTGCGAAAAGGTCAAAGGTCAGGGTGTTAGGTTGCAGCTGAAGCTGCCAGTTTTCTACCCCTCTGTAGGAGCATGTGTTCATACAGGAAGTAAACAGGAAGCATGTGTTCATTATTCCAGACTATTCTTCCTGTTCAAAGGCTGCTGCCAACATTACCCACAATGCACCGGGAACCGCGACAGCAGCTTCTGCATTAACGAAGAAGAAACGTCCCTATGAGAATGCAGTTGGTGCATGCAGAATTCCTTGACTACTGGAATTATGTCACTGGCCAGTTCTAGCGCAACATGCTTGATCAGACGAAATCAAACCTTCATCATTTGCTTTAAATGTAAACGCTGTGTTTTCTTTATCTGTCTTACACCAACTCTGCAAACTAGAGCGGTCATAGAGGGCTCACAGCTGGGTCACAGTAGTGTCCCAGAGACAGGAAAAAGCAGGACCAACAGCAGGCCTGCACACAGAAGAAGAGTAGCATGAGGAAGAACATTGTGGGCTAGTGTCCATCAGATAGACTGAGTCAAGGTACTGCTGACTGTGAGGACACAGCAGGAAGCTGCATTGTAAGAATACTGCCGTGCACTGCAAGATTACCACAGTAGTACTGCAGGAGTACTGGCTGTTACCCTTTCTGGAGGTGGCAGACAGGACAGCAGCTCCACGGTCCTTTGGGACAGTTGGGGATCAGGTGTTGCAGGTTGGACAGGTGGGGGTCGTAGGGTCATGGCCTCCCGGACCACCTGGTACAGAGTCCTAGTGATGAGGGGGGATGGCAGCTCCCGCAGGTAGTCCTTTAGAATCCCTGAGGAGGCAGGTGAGTGCAGTCACAATGAGTATGAGGACGATCAGAGGTCGGGTCAGAGTCTAGCTCAGACACAGGGACAGTGTAAGGAGCCAGGGGTCAAGTACATGTTCTCTGCTGTGCTTACCTGTGATTACGTTGATGTCAGGGTAGAGGTCCTCAGATAGACAAACTGCTGAGCTGTTCCTTTCGAACCAATCCCTGAGCTCCTTCTTCACCGCAGCAGAGCCACAGAGCCTGTAAAGACCTACCACCTGACACACACACAGACACATAATCAGCTGACGGCGAAGCCGCGGCATCTTTGTCACAGCAGACTTGCACGCTAACCTTCAGTCCCCGTCGTTCGATCTCTGCCACTGTTTTCTGGATCAGCAGGGGGACGGGAGTTGCAGAGCCCTCTTTCTCCACCAGGTGGTGGAGCTCAACCCCAAACACAGAGGACGGGGTGGATGCGTCACCGTTGGGCTGCAGACACACAATTTATGATTGAGTCTGTAGCGGCGGTGGTGGTTGGTCCACAGTTCACAGCACTTCATGCTCATCATGGAGATGCTGATTTCCCTTTTCAGCAGCGGTGCAACTCCTACCAGAGGGTTTGCTGAGCATGATGCTACTGTGATTGGTCTGCCAGCTCACCTGACCTGAACCCCTATCTGGGCTTCTGTAATACTGGAGCAGCTGCAGGCTGACCGTGGCTATGCTACACTGCACTGCAGCAGGCATTGATGGTGAAGGAGCCCCACCAGGTACCGACTGTGTGAGTGAACACACCCTTGAGAAGCTGGACGTTTCCATATCACAACCACAATCACCAAAATGAAAACAACAAAAAAGGCTTCAAATATTTCACTTTATGTGTAATGAACAGTGTTGGTCAAGTTACTTGAAAAAAGTAATCAGTAACTAATTACTGATTACTTTTTCAAAAGTAATTAATTACTTAGTTACTTAGTTACTTTTTATAAACACGATTTACAACCTGAACAGGTGATAAAGTGATAGATCTTTCAGCCCAATTCTACTTTTTCTGCATAATCCATCATACAAAATGTGATCAAATGGAAAAGTCTCTTTTTAAAACTTGTTTTATTAGTTTTAATCTTTTAAAAAATTTAATTATCTGCAACATTCTCTGACTGGAAGAAATTAGTTTAACATTTAAACCTATTTTCTGCACATTCCAGCACATAAAATAAAATA